AAATGCATTCATCTTACAAATCCTGCTTACGCATCCATGTCAGTTGTGATAATGCGTCATATAAAGAGCTGCTTGCAATTTCATTGATCAAAATATCATTTCAGACACTCGATGGTATCGATGCCTGCTTTCGAAACGCCTTCTCCCTTACTCCACCAGTTCGCTGTTATTCCTTCATATTCTTCGCTATCATCGCCTTCTTTACTGCCTTACCGTTCACATTTAGAGTCTTCGAATTTATCTCTACGGGTCAAAAGTGGGTTCTCTTCTTCATGCATTTGCAACTATTCCATAACATATGCCCTACTTTGTGTACCATAATACTCAATTCATATGACTCAACCTTCGCCGAAAAATCTAAGTATGAATGCTTCTCCAGTACCATACTCTTGCATGGACCAATCAGCGCTCTCGAATACAGTAGATATACGGTCTGGACTTGGTTCGATGTTAGATTGCATACATATGAGCTTCAAGACCTCAGACAAATCAAAAACTGAAGAATTCAAACTGAAAAATCAAACAACTTCATGGCCGAAAAAATTCCAAAGTCTGCTTCATATGCTCTAAGTAATAAACATTAAGAATAGCCCAACACAACTCAAGTTCACTCAACCCAGTCTTCAGTTCTTCTATTTCTAGGTTTGGAACCAGTGTGATTCAAGACACTTCATTCATTATTGTTCCTGTACTCACCTTATGGAATCTGATACCTCTGCTGTATTACGACCTTTACAACCGGATCGTACGCTTCTACATCAAGTAATTGGATTTCTCGCTTATTACAATATTTTATCATTGTTTTGTGACAAGACATTTATTTCAGAACTTTGATACAGTCAATGAACATGGAACACAGAAAACGTCGCTTTAGTCTAAAGTTCTACTATGATCAATTTCTCAGGATTACAAATGTTCAGGTGGGTCCTTGTCAACGATTTCATCAATAAGCTTATTTTTGACTTCAGGAAGAAATGGGTTGCTTGTTCAATCCTTTTATTCTCTTCTCCCTAGCGTGGTCTATGATGGTACTGTGCTTGACAATATATTTCATCACACAACCACATTCAAGGTAAA